CTGGGTGACCCTGGGTCAGTCACAGATCTCTCAGAATTCTCTCAGGTTCACCTACCTCACAGGGTGTCTGTTGTGGGGAGAAGAAGGGAAGGCGATTGTAAGCCACTCTGAGACTCCTTCGGGTAATGAAGATTGGGGTATAAAACCAGCTCTTCTTCTTCTTCATATAAAACTCCAAGTCCTTAATCATCTTGGTTGCCCTCTTCCCCACCCTTTCCAGCTCTGCAATATCTATTTTGAGATACAGTGAGTGACTAGAACTCTGCACAGTATTCCTGTATAGAAATATTGATTTCTAAACGTCTCCTGCATTCTCCTGTTCTGTCTTTTGGTAACAGGCTGTGCCTTATTTCCTGTTACAAGCCAAATGGTAGGCCCCATGACCTCAATTGCATGCCATAAACCCACATTCTTCACACTTCCATGCTGGAAGCTAGGCCAGCATGCCAGAAGCTCTCGTAGCCGATGGAGAAGCTGGAGTTGGGGGCCATGTGACTGCAGGCATGGTTTCCAAACTTCCAGCCTATCCCCAGTTGTACCCATGACAATTAACAAATTGGATACACCTAGGTCCACTCCAATTGGCTGATGGCCACAGCTGATTGAGATGGAAATTGGGCTATATCTGTTCAGACCCAATGAGAGACTCTTTCTGTCCCTTGTTCTTGCTTCTTGGTCTCCTGTTGTTGCCTGTTTATTGCACCTGGACATGTGCTCTCTGGAAGAGACAAAGGACTGCTTTGTGCCTTAGAGTGCATGGAGGACAAGGATGGGCTTTCCCTTCAAAATACCTTGGTACCTAAATGGACTGTATCCTTTGGACACTTTTGGAACATGGACACTACACTGGTAATTATGCATATCTCTAATGTGTAGTTAAGGCAAACTGCCTTACGTTTCTTATTTTGTAATCTCTTAGTCTGTGCTAAGCTCTGAATAAAATAGTATTCTTGTTCTAACTTGTCTTTGATGTTGTAACTGGGATTCCAAGGCTAAACTCCTGTGCCTTCAGCTCACCATATAAGCTACCTTTGTAATATTGAGAGTGCAGCTCTGTATTGAGTTGTTCAATGTGTTCTGTCCCAGAGGCTAACCTAAAGGTTTAGAATCCCTCCCTTGGGGAAAAGCCGGGACTAGTTAAAAAGGGATTCTGGTGGCATACTGTTCTGAATCCAGAGAGGGTAGCTTACCTCTCTGGGTTGTTGTTAAATGTATTGAAAAAATATAGAATTCCCTCTCATTCCTGGACAGGCTTGAGGGCAGGATCCTATACAATTCCAAATAAGGGTGCACCATAGATCTGTACATGTGCATTAGAGTATTATCTGTTTTATTTTCAACCCTTTTCCTAGGAATCCCAATGGAGCTCGCCTTTTTCAATCCTGCTGCATACTGAGTCAACATTTTCATTGAGCTCTCTCAATGAACTCAAGAGAACCAGTGTGGTGTAGTGGTTAGAGTGCAGGACTAAAATGTGTGAGAGATTTGAATCCCTGTACTGCATGGGCAGCTTGCTGGGTGACTAGAGTAGCTGGGTGTGCTAGTCACACACTCTCAGCCTAACCAACCACACAGGGTTATTGGGAAGATAACAGAGGGTTATAATTGGTCCCTGCTGGGGAGAAAGGAGGGATATATGTAAAGTAAATAAACAAAACTCTCTCCTTAGTCTGTGATAGTTTGGATCCCATCAACATGTATCTAAAATTAAGATTGTTCTATGTGCATCACCTTATACAACTCAATTAAAATCAACAGATACATCAGCTTCATGCTATCAGTTCAAAATCTATCAAATGTGTTCCAGAATCATGTGGGTCAAGCATGTCAACAGTAGGTCAAAAGTGAGAAGGAAAGATGAATTTCCTATGGGGACAAGTTCCAAAGCTTGAGCAGTGGGAGCTGATTTTAGGTCAGAGCCAGGCTCATATAAGTGGTTGGCAGTCCCTCAGAAACCCTGGTCCCAAGAGATTTAGGGCTTTGGGGCAACCCTAGCACTTTGAATTGGGCTTGAAAACAGACTGGCAACCTGTATAGCTGGCACAGTACTGCTGAAATATGATTCCCACAACAGGCTCTAATTAGAACTAGCAGCCATATTTTGCATCCATTTCTAAACATTTCTTCCAAGACGGCCCTACCTCCAGCACATTACAGAAACAGTCTAGAATCAGGGGTGTCGAACTCATTTGTTACAAGGGCCAGATCTGACATAAATGGGACTTTGTGGGGGCTGGGCCATGTGTGTCATAAAATGTAATGCCAGGCAGAGGAGATATAAACTTAATAAAGGATACAGATAAACACAATAATATTATTTTTTTACTTAAAATACAAACGTGCTTAACACTATTGCAATATTTTGTTTATTTAAAAGTCTTTGATAACTGACAACTCCCAAACCTTCCCCCACCCTTAAAAGATGCCTGCCTAAAATGGAAAGGTGGGGGTATAGTGGGATTTGGCAATGCGATTTAAAAAATAAAACAGCAAGAAAAACCACAAGGATCACAGAAGAAACTAAAACTATAAACTAAAAATACAAAATGCTCTGAACCTAGGAAAACATGAAATGGCTGGGCATTGCAAGCTTCTCCCCTCCCCCCATTCACTCAGAGTGGCAGTGGCTCTCCAGTGTAATGTCCCCCTTTGGCTGTGGATTCCCATGTTATACTCACTCAGGCACCCATTCTCAGGTCCATTCAGCAGAGACAAACTGGCTCAAAACATTAACCCTGTATTTGCAAGGAGACAACCCCAGCAAACAACGGCTTCAGCTGGCATGCAAACACTGGAAAGTGAAACTACTTGAGGGCCACTCCATTGAAATACATTGCAGCACAGACAAAGTTGCAAAGATAATGTGGAATGGATTTTCCATTAAGATCTCTGGGCCCAGATAGACTACTCTGGGACTAGAATGACAGCCATCAGAGTGCAATGACAGTCCCTGGGAGTAGCAGAAGCATTCTGGGATTGGAATGAGGGTGTCCAGAGTGGAATTCCATTCCCAGAACGCAGTTGCTACTCCCAGGGACTGTCATTCCAGTCTCAGTCTATCTGGGTACAGAGACATTAATGGAAAAATCCATTCTGCATTTTCTGTGCAACTTTGCAAGCCCAGAAGAGCTTCCTGCCAAGGCAGGCAAAGAGAAGACCCAAGGGGGCTGGGAATTTCGGCATCCTTGAGCTTCAAAGGGTGAGGGGAGGGGGGGGAGAAAAGCGCCCCAGGCCGGATTAAAGCCATGTTCCAGCCCACGGGCCTTAAATTTGACACCCCTGTATAAGTGTGGCCAGAGTTGCCTTCTCCAGGAACAGCTGCCTAAGTTGGTAAAAAGCACATGTGGCCAACTCTCCCACCTGCTTTTCCAGTCTTGGTCCAGAAGTACCCCAGATAATGTATTTGATTCTTCAGGAAGAATGCAGCCTATTCAGAACAGGCTGAAACCTGCAATGCAATCCTTAAACCAATTTTTAAACCCAGGCTGTAGAAACACTGATGGGAGACTGAAATGAGGCACTCCAAACTCCCAAGGTTAAACCATAAATACAATCTTCTAAACCAATGATCTTCAATTGATTTAGAAGGGTATAACTGTATTTATCATAATTTACATTTATTTACAAGAATTATACATTGCCTTTCTGGCCTCATCACATCCCAGTTCTTGTCTGGATTAAGTTTTAGTTTATCTGCTCACATATGGCTGTTCAGTGTCTCTAAACATCAATTTAGGGTTGTTTCCCCCCCTAGTCAGTTGGAAATTCTATTTACTTTCATCTTCTAGGAACTGAGGTAAAGGTTTCCCTTGCTCGAAAGCCAGTCAAATCCGACACTAGGGTTGTGGTGCTCATGTCCGTTTCAAAGCCGAAGAGCCAGCGCTGTCCGAAGACGTTTCCTTGGTCATGTGGCCGGCATGACTAAACACGCAGGCACACAGAGCATAAATACAGGCAAGAGAGTGTAAATGATGGGAATAAGGACAACATACAAACCCTCCCTTCTACCCCCACCGCCAAACACTTCACAATGATGGTGGATACTTCCCTAGTATGCCAAAAACAAAACAAAAACCCACCAAACCCCATAGCAGCTATTTGCCAAAAGTCCTCCTACGATACAAAAGAGGCTGATTTTGAAATTGCAAGAACTTCCAGTTTTGTTTCTACGGGGGAGGGGAGTGTCATGAAAGTGGTCATGAATACCGTGCATCCAACAGTCACTATATTCCACAATACCGGATTGCGTGCAGCCTATTTCTTCTCATAAGGTCGCACCAATTCCCATCAATTCCCCCTCCCTCTGCAAATCCCTACTCATCTGATCCTGAGAGTCCACTCTGTCTTCCTCCGGCTAACTGGGGATGGCTGGCACTCCAAGATCAGGACTCTGGAGAGCCACATCCCCCCCCCCCCCCCCCCCCAACTCAGAACCGGCAAGAGCCGTCACCAAAAGAGCCCTAAATGCGATGCATGGAGATCACAGCCTTTAACGTTTCCACGGGCCATCCATCCACGGCCGTGCTGAAGAAGCGCTCAGACGCGGGACTCCTTGACCTTCACAACAGAGAAGCTACAGCCGCTCCACACACTAGGAGTGAGGACGCTTCCCTGGACTGCAGTCCTACGGACGTCTATTTCTAAGTGAACCAGCGTAGGCCTGCGCGTTCTACAGCGCTCGCTCTCACTTTCGTTTCCCCAGCCCCGCCCTCCCACCGCTCCCGCGGCTTGCACGCACAGCAACTCTCATCTGCTCTACTCCAACCAGGAGGGACGAGCTCCCCTCAGAAGCTGATTGGACGCGCCCTGCTCCTCGCCCGTCTTTCCCTCGCCTCCCTTGTGTGCCTCGCGCTCGCCCCCCCTTACCGGCTTCCTGGCATTCGTTTCTGGTTGCGTCACCAGCGCAGTGCGTGACAGCGTGACGTCAGGGGGCGGCGACGGCGACGTTTCAGTCAGTCAGTCAGTGGTGCGAGGGGGAACCCGGGGGGAGGGGGGAAAAGATGGCGGACCAAATCCCGCTGCACCCGGTGCCGCGCAGCACCCAACGAAGGGCGGCTTATTACACCAACGCCCCAGCCGCTCAGCGGCATAACAGGTACCGTTGGAAAGAAAGGAAGAAGGGGGTGGTGGATAGGGACACCGGAGGGGCATGGGAGGCGGTCCACGGGCTCACAACGCTATAGCCTAACAGGGAAGGGGAGAAGCAGCACGATTCCCTCCCCGCTTCCCTGAAGATAAGCAAGTCTTATGTCGTATCCCATCTCGCGGAGCTGAATTCGCCAGGCCTGTCGGTGGCTGTATTGTTGTGTGTCGGCTTGCCGGGGCCGGCCGGGCGGTCCTGAGTTCGGGGGCAGATGCAAGGTTGCTGCAGCGGTCGTGCTGTTATAACAGAGTAACCTTGGGAGTTTGGAGTGCCTCCATCCAGTCTCCCGTCAGTGTTTTTTCCAGCCCGGGGGTTAAATCCGGATTCAAATCAAGTTCATCTGCCACGGTTTCAAAACCATCAGAAGAAGACAGTGCCCCTGAGCATGTGCTGAGTACATTTCCTATTGCCGCTGAATAATTTAACTCTGGGTTGCTGCGATATATTGCTTCTAGGAAGATGTGAGTTATGGAACTTCAGTAATATTGACAGTAATTTTTGCTCTATAAAGGGCGAAGAAAGCATGAGCTATAATGTGTTAGAGTTCCAACTCTTAACTTCTGACAAGTTCAGAATTCCATTTCTGTTTGAAGAGATTATTTTAAAAACAGACTATGATGGTCTCTTAGGATGAAACTGCACAGTACAATGTGGTTCCCAATCCCATATTAGCCTTGTGAATGAAAGGAGGGGGGAAATTTGGTGAGCCTCATCTCCTCTCCAGTTCTTCCCCTCTTTCAAGATGGATTCTAAGCCTGAAAGGAAACCTACCTGTGGAAAAAGTAATGTTGAGGGTGGGTGAAGGAGGGAGCAGTCTCAGAAAGCATCATGCACAGGAAGGGTTAAATGCACTCTCTCTTTCACCTTTCAGTTCTTCCCCTACAAATCTCCAGTTCATGTTAAGTTGGTAAAAATGGTTTTGAAAACGCACACTTTTTAAAATATAAAGTTTTATTGTATTTAAATAGAAAACGCACACTTTTTGAGGTAAAGTGTAATTCCATATTTAGGAACACAAATGCCATAGGAAATTTTCTCAGCAAGGTCTTTTTAATTTTGTTTCTTCTGGGTATGATAATTAAGCCAAGGTCTTGGTTTCCCCCAACAGCTAGCCAGCACATTTGCTCATACCTCATGGGGGTATGGGAAGGCCAGCTTCTTGTGTCTGATGTCTGTGAAGTTTGGAACAATTCTGAAGTTGGGTTTAATTGTGGGGTCTAGTCCTCACCTTCTCCATTTTGAAGTTAGAATTAGGGTGGGGCCCATAGGCACAGTAGGTTTGGCAGAGACAGGAGTGTCATCTGCCATTATAACCATGGCAGATGAACTTGTGGGCTGCTAGAGAAGATTGTTCCATCAGTCTCCCCCTTCCTCCAACTGTCTAGAGCTGCCCAATGTACTGTTTTTTCCAACCAAATATGTCTGTATGTAGGCCTCATGGTATTGCAAATTGGTTTTTGCAATGTGTTGTAGGTCTGTCTCTATGTCTGACACGGTTTTTTATCTCTTGTTAAAAATATGTCTGCCTTAGACATGTTTCAGTTTCCATAGGATTTTCTGAAATGTGTAATATGGAGCGCACTGTGAAAATACAAAGTTCAGATGAGTAGCTGTATTAGTCTATTACTGTGACAATCTTTGTGGCATTTAAAGGCTAAGGAATGTACTGTATTATAAGCTTTTTTGAGCTGAGACATACTTTGCCAGGTAAGTGAACTGTTACATTCAGTTGGTAGAGAAAGATACCCACTACGTAATAGAACAGAGGCATCCAGTGAAGGGCATCCAATGAAGGTGATGGGTTGTAGATTCAGTATGGACAAAAGGAAATACATCTTTATACAGAGAGTGATTAAAATGTGGAATTCACTGCCCGAGGATGTAGTGATGGCCACAGGAATAAACAACTTTAAAAGGGGTTTACATAGATTCAGTGGCTACTAGCCATGGTGACTGAGGGAAACCTCCATATTCAGAGGCACTAAACCTCTGAGTCCCAGAGTAAGGAGGCAGCATCAGGGGAAAGTCTTGGCCTTTATGCCGTATTGTTGGCTCTCCAGGGGAACTGGTTGGCCGCTGTGTGAGACAAGATGGACCAATGATCTGATCCAGCAGGGCTCTTCTTATGTTCTAAGAGGTGTGAGTAGTTATTACAAAGATAGGCAAGAAGGCCCAGTATCTTATTACATTGCAAAGGGAAAACAAGATCCAGTCGAAAGAATAGGAGCTAGCACCTTAATGTTAGATCCCCAAGCATTCAAAATAAATCCACGTTTAAAAGTAAAGCAAAATTTATTTCAAAGCGATGGTTCGATCAGGAACAAGGACATTGTTAGGAATAACTGCAATCACACGGGGACTACATAATAAAGGAACTTGAACCAGGTAAGGGCCAATTAGCCCCTTTCCCTCTGGCGGGAATAGAACAGAGAACGCGCGCCCAATTCCTTGGGAACATAACGGTCCTACATTATACACAAGTTCAGTTCTCAGGCAAGCTAACCATAACAGCGAAGCGATACCACGACTCCCACCTCCAGCTGCTCGACCTTGGCCAGTTTCCGCAAAGCTACACATGCAATATAATGAAGCAAGAGAACACACAGGGGGGGATGGGTGTAACAGCTTCTACAGGTAATACCATATACACCAGACATAATGGCAGCTAGCTGACATACTGCCCTCCCGAAAATACATCTTATCCCCCCACTCCCGGATTCGGCGGGAGACCTCCCGGTTTGTCCGGGAACCGTCGGTGAAAGTCTCTGAGCATATAAGGGGCCCGAATATCCCCTTCTTCCACCCATTCTTGGTGCTGGGGTCCGAAATCAACCCATTGGATCAGATACCACAGTTTACCACGTTTTATTTTAGAGTCTAAAATGTCAGCAATCTCAAAATGTTCCTCCCCATCAATCAAAACGGGGGGGGAGGGTCCCGACTGGGCCTCCAGTGGCATTGGCCAGTGTCCTTCTTTAGGAGACTCATGTGAAAAACAGAATGTAGTGACCTCAGGTTTTTAGGTAATTCAACGTCAA